TGTAGGAAAAGGGCAAGCGATGGCCATGTTCTTCAGATCTTTAGGGAAAATGAATGGTGCCTGTGATCCTGGCTGGTAGCCCCCAGGATAAACACCTTTTATAGCTTACTTCAAACCCCCACGATTAAATTATATTAGTATATTAGATGACAGTCACCTGATTATGCCTCCCTAAGAATATGCCTCATAGACTAAAGAAAAGTGACAGTTCTAGAAAGAGCAGAACTCATTTTTCAGTACGTTAGCTATAAATTTAGTCCTGAGTTAGCAATCTGCTGCATGAATACCGAAGACCGTTGTTTTAATCCTAGGTAGTGGGGTCTTAATTTTGATAAGAATTGAATCATCGAGCATTTTAGAAAAGGGAAAGACTTACTATGAAGGAGCAAGGATGAGAATTACACTGGAAGTGTAACCACTGGAAAGAAAAGCTTTAGATCAGAGAACTGCTTGTGAAGCAAGGCTCTGGGTACAGATGGGAGTTAGCTCTCCCTGCTGCCTCCTGAATCCATGTTGTGCTCATTGACCCTGTCATAAACGGTGGGGGCCAGGAGATGCTCTGCGAACACCAAGGCTACTCATAACCAGATATTACCTACCAATAGGCTTAGGTCACCGATAATCTGTGATGGATAGTAATACCTGCCTCAAAACAATACCTGCCCCTCGCTTAGCACCAGTGCTGGAGGTTTACTCCTGCTAGTCCCACTACCTCTCCCTCCCTGTGCAGCCAGTTGAACTTCAGTCATAAACGTTGCATTGGAAATGAAGAGAAGGGTTCTAGTGTGCTAGGCACAGTGTATTCTGGTATAGCCTCATTTTAGAATAATGATCACTCTGAGGTTGCTGACAGTGAAAACCACATTTCCCAGTTTAGAAATACCGTCATTACCGCTTTTTCTCTAATACTATGTCAGGTGTAGTGGTGGTGGAGTTGATGGTGGTCATATGTGCCAGCTCTGCTGGCACCTTTTTTTTCACTAAATTGACACTAATATTAGGACACAAAAAAGTTAATATCCATCTCAAATGACTTATCATTAATAATTTCCACATAAAGTTTTAAAAGGCATTCTTATGGTATCTGTTAAGAAAAAATAAAAGCACCTTTTTGTTATATTTTTTTGGTGGCATCTGTTAACCTCTACCTGGTATTCTCTGTGACATATTTTTGCCAGAGGTGACAATTCCCCAACTCTACCACCCACAGGACAATAATAACAATGGGGATACTCCCTACGATTTTCACTTTTAGGCTTACTCAACATACATGGGAAATAAGTGAATATAAACTGTGTTAGCAGAGTCCAGACACAGTGGTCATTTCTGGCACCTGTCTGCACTGGTCCCAGACCCAGCATGAAATGTTTAGGGCTGAGCCTTAGGAGCTGGCATTTTAGGTGGGTTTGGGCACTGAGAGCCAAAGCAGAGAGAGGGGCAGGAAAGCATAAGGTGTTTAGGTAACACCAAATTCACCATGTTGGATGCACCTGTGTGTTAATATAGAGGAGTAGTGGGAGAAACAATTAGAAAGATGGAATAAGATGGAATAATTTCTTCTAGCTAGGAGAAATAGCAGAGGGCCCCAGTGGAAGGCAGGAGAGGCTGGACTTTTTCCAGTAATCAGAGAGGGCCACTGGAGATGGGAAGTAACATGATGAAAGCCACATGCTGAGACTTTTAGAAGGAATGTGCTGAAAACGTAGCATTTAAAAGTGAAATTGAATATGAGGAAAAACTGGAAATAGGGTGATTGGCCATCTAGTCTTGTAAATTGCCTTTTATTGTCAGATAAAATTCATTTCAAGCACAGCCTGTTGGATATAAATGTCCCATGTTGAATCAAATCAAGAAGCAAAAAAAAAAATGAATGTTTACTGTTATAAGGGTGCAAGAGATAGGAAGTAAGATAATACAATAAATCTTCACTATTTGTAATTTCTGAATCCCAAAATATATTCATTCCACCAAAGCATATACTTTTTTCCCCCATAAGATGCAGTGAAATATGACTTCATTTGAGGGACCGCATGCAGCAGCAAGTTGAAAGTAGCACGTGGAGATGTGTTTGCAGGGTCCTCGGCTGTGCCCACCCACGGCGGCCGCCCTCACGCACTGGCTTGATAGACCACAAGACACTTGTTTGGTGCCACGACAAAGTTACATCTGAATTTTTATCATGGATGGGGCCCTTTAAAGTCATTTTTTGTTCTCTTTTATTTTGTTTTTAACTACCCTTTCTCCAAATTGGGTTTTAAACAAACCTAGTTCTTTCCGTTTGAACTCACATGATTATACTCAAATTGCCTTGTCATCACAATAGAAGAAAGTCTTTCTCTGACCTTGTATTAGTGTCTCTTTACTGACCGTATCCCACCTTCTAAGAGTAAGAATCACACACATACACACCCTTTCTCACATACACATTTGTTCTTTAACTCCTTTCAGGAGCGTGGCCACCCCAAAACCTTTCTACATGTCAAATCCTGTTTGGAGTTTAACTGTAAATGCTCCCAGTTCATCATAGCTCACCTCTAAGGGCCTTATGGCCTATAAATACTTTTTAAAAAATTATTTATTAATATTATTTATGCCTCCAGTACCTGGTCTTCCTAGGTGATCTCCCATCCAAGTACTAACCAGGCCTGACCCTGCTTAGCTTCCAAGATCAGACATTGGGCTTGTTCAGGGTGGCATGACCGTAGACCATGGACCATGGCTCCACTGGGGCACGGACCCAGGATCTTCTGCGTGTAAAGCAGACGTGCTAACTGCTACATTATGGAACCACGTCCTATAAATACTTCTTTTCACTACAATCCTCCCTGCCTCCCATCTCCTATTGGAAAGCTCTTTAGAGACCCCAGCTGTGGAAGGAGGTGGCAGAACCATGACCTTGCGTGCCTGGGGCTGGTTATAAGAACAGGAAGCGAGGACTTCCCATAGGTCACATTCAACTACAGGTGGCTTTTCTGTGTCCTAAGACCTAGGTCAACTGATTAAATTAAAAGACACATTGTAATTGACATCTCAGCATATTATAATTGACATCCAAGTAAGCGGTCTCTAATGAAGTGTCCAAATGACTAATTCCAAAATTTAGAAAATTCTGAATCAAATTCAGCATTAACCACGTTTTCCTAATGTTCCTCTCTAACCCAATAGGAGTGACTAAGTGTTTATTTTAAAAATGAAAAAAATTAACTGACCGACTCCTCATCTTTTCACATTTTCCATGATTTGTATTACTGTAAGCATAAACAGAACCAAGCATACCTACCATAAAGTGATACCTATCCATCCTAGACTCCGTAGACATTCTCTGAGAAAGAAAAGAAACACAATTGGCTACTGTACAATTCACTAACAAGGCAGATGCCAGATGGCACAATATATTGGTTTCTCATTTTGTAACCGGTATATATTTCTACAAGCCAGGGAGAGCTTTGCCATGTCCTAAGTGGTTCTCAGACTCTTAAAAGGTCCCCAAAGTGGTACAAGAGACTCCATGGGCCAGCCGAACCATCATCTCTCTTGCTTATCCAAACCTTGTTTCTTCCTAGATTTTCCTTCTGCATCTACCTCCACCACTTTTTTAAAAGCTCAAAGGGAGATTTCCAGCAGCTGTTGAAGAAAATCTGCTGCTCTGATTATTTTGCTTTAGCCTAAAAAGCTCCTCCAGATGGGAACAGTGGTCCCCAGCCCCAGGACAAAATCCAACAGCTGAAATTTTAAAAATTGCTTCCATTTCACTTAGAATTCAGGTTTGCCAGGTCACCCTGGTCACGTGACTTCTCTTACCTCCTGATTTTCTCTGGCCTGTGAATCAGGCCTGGGAAGCCAGTTAGAGAGTGATGTGCAGTGTAGGTAGGAGAAGGTGTAACGTAAACCCATTTCATTTGGTCTTAAGCAAACTCAGTACCAAAGCTCATGGGAGTTGGCTGTCTCATCGTCTGTATCACTCCAGAGCTGCTGGAACAGAAAGGATTTGAAGGCAAAGGTGAAGAAATTGGTGGTGATACAACCCAAAAGCAGGCAGAGGTGTTTTTGACAAAGGCAGAATTGGCTCTATTTTCACCTGTGTAATCTAGAGTAGACTAGCAGAAACTGCCCCCTGCTGTCTGACACAGAGAAGTACATTAAAATGTCCATTTTATTAAAAAGAATCATGTTCTGAAACCCTGCAGCGAATGGAAAACAAACTGGCGTGATGGCAAGGCAGACGTGCCGAGGACATCACAGGTCACCTAGATCTTCTCTGATGTGCAGATGAAGGGAGGATGAGAGAGTTTGTCTCTTTTAAAAGCACCATTTGGGGGATTTGGAGAGCTGCCTCAATTACCCTATGTATAGCCTTGCTTCTCAAAGTGTGGTCCATGCTCCAGCAGCATCAATATTTCCGGAGAGCTTGTTGGAAATGCAGAGTCTCAGGCCTCACCTCAGGTCTACTGGATCAGAATCTGCATGTTAACAAGATCCCAAGGTGACTCACGTGCAGATTTACATGTGAGAAGCCCTGAGCATAACTTCAGAAGGAGCTTTGCCCCTGGAGAAGGTCCACTGTGCCCTAAGGTTTGGATCAGATTGAATTCCAGTTGAACAGTGAATAAATACAACTGAATAGAATTTAATTCCCTACTAAGATCACGATTGCCTTATGCCCTCATTTTTTTAATGCTCTTGTTTTCTACGTCCTCACATCACTGGCCTTTTCACTTGCTGTATTTCACATTATTTGCTGTATTTCAGCAACAGCTGGCACTTGCCAAGCAGTTTCTTTTAAATTCAGGCTCTCTCAGCAAGTATGTGACAGGTGTCAGTCTTATCTCTGGTACCCTCCGTGTTTCCCTTTACTCTTGTTTGCTCCGCTCACCTCTCTCTCCCTTCCTGACACCCTGCTGTTACTGTTTAAGAGTAGCTACTCTTCCCTACAGGATGGGGCTGGCCCCTGGTGGCATTGTCAGTCTGTTGCTAACCCAGAGTGTTCTTTTCTGCGCCAGGTCAGGGAAGAGTGCCGGCTCCTGAACGCCCCACCTGTTCCACCCCGAAGCGCAAAGCCTTTGTCCACCAGCCCCTCCATCCCTCCTCGCTCAGTCAAGCCAGCGCGGCAGCAGACTCGCTCTCCCAGCCCCACCTTGTCCTACTATTCATCAGGGCTGCACGACATGTAAGTCTTTATGCCAGGGCCCACCTCAACACAGTTCTTCTCATCAGCCAGGTCATGGGTTCTTGAGAACAGTCTCAGGATAGCCATAACCTAGGCAGATGGTGGGAGAGAAAATGTTCTTTGTGGTTTTACTGGAAGAGCATGATGGGACCCCCATTGGTTTTGACCTAGAATGAAAAAGCCAGTGTCCTAGGAAGAGATGATAGCACAGAATCTTTGAGAAAATCAGTGATAAAGGCCAACTGGATTATCTTAGAAGCAACCTGTGGACTTCCATCGGTTCTCACAAACCAGCATCCGGTTCTTCCCACTTTGACTTCAACAGAAGCAAACAGACAGCGCCTTCACCAGGGACTTAGAATTGAAAAGATCCTATTGGCTCTCTCCTCTGAATTTCCGCCCAGTACAGGAATCCTTTCTTGACCATTGCTGTCAGGCACTCATTCACTTCTTTCTGGATCTTTCCAGTGCTGTGAGCTCATTCTTTTGCAGTGCAGCTCATTCCATTGTTGGCAAATGCCAATCACTTGTTTTTAGGAATCTTTTATGATGTCGAGTTGAAATCTGTCTCCACGTACCTTTCAACTATTTCCTTTGTCTAGAAAATTAAATATAGGTACATCTCACTTCTCTTTGTCAGCCTGCGAAAATGTGAAGTCAGCTGTGATGTAAGTCCTCTCTTCTCCAAAAGAGACAGCCTTGGTGTCATCAGCTGTTTCCCCTGACATCACTTCCTAATCCCTTATCAGCTTGGTCACCCACCTCTGAGCACACTCTGGCGTCACTGTCACTCTTAAACTATGGCCCAGAGCTGAATGTACTTGTACTCCTCTCCCTGTGATCTCTGCAGTTTAAAGTAGCTAGGCTTTGCAGGTAATTTTTGTTCTCCAGACATTTAAATCCTTATGCGACTCAATTGTACAGAAACCAAGGCAAGCGTAAGCATTTTATTTGAAACATTTCTTCCTACATCCGACTTTTGGGTGGAAGTAGAGTCATAGGTGGTGGTGACATACTGATGTCACTGTGGCACAGGGATGGCAAGAATGAGGCGCCCATTTATTGCCCTCTCCTTCTACCCTTGCCCGCTGTGGACGTCACTAATCAATCATAGCACCTGTTGGTGATAAGACTGAACATGGCTTGAAATTTTTTCTCATCATAAAGATCTAAATACCCACTAACAATGATTTTTATGTTAGTTTTTTAAAAATTATATATTTGACACCTCCACTGTAGTATTTTAACTTATTATGTTCCTATCCATAATTATCAATGTATATTTTAGTAATTTAGAGTCTTTCTTAAAAATTCAATGAAGTGAGCAGGTACTTTATTGAATTCGTGATAAGAGATATGTATTTTCTTAACTACATTTTTCTACTCAGAAGTAACATCTGTGGGCTGAGGAAAGGCTTGCGCTGTGACCTTTTTTTTTTTAACTAATCTCCCTTTCTGTGTATTTGCTTTTAAGCAGTGTTACTAAAAGCAACACAAGTCCTTCTGAAAGTGCACCTGTTTCCTGCTATCCATGTACCCGAGTGAAAACCGATTCTGTGGACCTGAAGTCCCCCTTTGGAAGTCCTTCTGCTGAAGTGCTCTCCTCCAGGCTCTCATGGCCTAACCATTATTCGGGGGCATCAGAGAGCCAGACCAGAAGTGACTTCCTGCTGGATCCAAGCCGGAGTTACAGTTATCCTAGACAAAAGACACCGGGCACACCAAAGAGAAACTGCCCAGCACCTTTTGATTTTGAAAGCTGTGAGCTCTCGGCCAGTCCCAGCAGCTCAGTCACTGCAGAATTCAGTAGCAGCGTTTCTGGTTGTCCCAAGTCAGCCAGCTACTCTCTGGAGAGCACAGATGAGAAAACTCTTAGAGCTGGCACGACAAAGCAGAGTATTTCATGCCCTGCCTTACCCCCCAGGGCCCCAAAACCAGTGGAAGAGAAAGCCGCGTCCGAAACATCGCCTTTGCCTCTGAAAATCGATGGTGCTGAGGAAGACCCCAAGTCTGGGTCATCGGACCTCTCTGAGGACCAGTATTTTGTTAAAAAGGGCATGCAGGACATCTTCTCAGTCTCTTACCCTTTCTCATCTCCGCTCCACCTCCAGCTGGCCCCTAGGTCCTGCGGCGATGGCTCCCCGTGGCAGCCCCCTGCTGACCTGTCGGGACTCTCTATAGAAGAAGTGTCCAAGTCGTTACGGTTTATTGGTTTGTCTGAAGATGTCATATCATTCTTTGTTACCGAAAAGATTGATGGGAATTTGCTTGTTCAACTAACGGAAGAAATCCTTTCAGAGGATTTCAAATTAAGCAAACTGCAGGTGAAGAAAATCATGCAATTCATTAATGGCTGGAGGCCCAAAATATAGCCAAAAAACCCCAGCTAGCATTGAACAAAACTAATAAATTTGTGTGCTAGAGGGGACGGGCTGGGACACAATTTCATGTTTTTTTTGCACTAAAAACCTTCTCTGTACATAAGGATAAGAGAAACTCTTACTATGCAGATTACGTTTTTGAATGGTGAACAGGCTATTTTGTACATCAATAAAAATGCTGTACAGAACACTTAGAGGTGCGCCTTGTACATCACTCAACACTCAACAGCTGCTAAAAGACAAAAGGCATGTTCAGAAAACTAATTCTTACCCAAGCGGGTTTATGTGAGAAGGTATGGTATTTATTACAAAATAGCCAAAGCCGAAAGAATCTTAAAAAAAAAAAAAAAAAAAAAACCACTTTTGAACAACAATTTCTTCCTTTGGGGGAATTGTCTTTAAACAATTAACTCTATTCTGTGCTCTGTTGTTCGAATTGCTCAACGCTAATTGTTTTATTCTTGTGCCTGACAATGTTAGTAATATGAAATGACACTTTAATGTTATATGCTTGGCGGGGATCTTTTTATCAAAAGGCATTTTCCAAAAGTCATGTGTTGATAGATGATATATGATGTCCTTTGAAAAATTCAAATCATGACCACAGTAATTTATCTGTAACTGCTGCTAATTTTATTGAGCAGAGGAAAAAAAAAAACAATAGATACATATATGTATATGTAAACACAATACAAATGTATATGTTTTAAATATCATTTCCAGACTGGTATTTTAGATAACATCTCTTCACCTTCAAATATCTACTGAGGTTTGGGGCCATTAACTAAGTTGACTCTCTAGTAGACAAAATAACGCAAAGGTTCTCAGAGCCCTGCCCCTCGAAGCTCAGGCTTATTAGGGCTTCATCACTGCAAACTTGGAAGAAATCAGTAGAGAGGCTGTATTAAAGAATTAAATTTAATTTTAAGCCCATCGTGGGGCTATGTTTTGCATATAATACCCTTGCGTCGCTGTCTGGGGAAATGACCATTTCTGTCAAATGGTCATTCTTCTTGGGTTTGAGGGTCAGTTCTCCTGGTATCTGATCACGCGAGGACTGAAGAGCGTTGCTCAGAGTGTGTTAGGTGTTCTCAGCTTGCTTTGTGTTTAGGAGAGAGCTCAGAAATCAGACATACCGTCTTCGGTTATTACATGGGCTACATCCGTTGAGTAATTTTTACAGTATCGATAAGAATACTTTGTTTAGTTCATAAACCTCTTCTTTCTCTCTTCCAGAGAAGATACATTATTACCATACTTTTATTCCAGGAATTTCAGAACATTATTCGAGAATTTTTGCCAAACATGACTAAGTATTCCAAAGTATAATGGCCTTGTCATCATTCTTGACTTTTTGAAGGAATATAATTCTTTAAAAAGTTTTAGTTTTCCAAGCAAGCCATCACCCATAGCCCTGCCTTTCCCCGGAGTCTGTCCCCAGTTTCTGGATGTACAGACAGTCTGTGACTGAGGGCAGCCAACCAGGTGTCAGCATGCCTTGCAGGATTGGCTTATATCTTATCTTCTGCTCTTCCTGCTCACTGAAATAAATTAACAAATATAAAGACAAGACCCACCTGTCTACTTTTGCAAACCTGTTCAATATGGCTTTATTTCTTAGTATTAATGATATTTTTCATCCATCTCATGGTTTAGAATTGAGGTGATGAATTGATATCTCTCCTCATTTTCCATCTTAAATCTCCTTTAAAAAAAAAAAAAAAAGAAAGCAGCATTTTTCCCCCAACATGTCTCCCAAAATGTGAATTCTATACTCTAAGCAAAAAGTATCCCATAAAAAGTACCCTGTAAAAGTCATCAAACTGAAACATCTCTTCAGGAGTAGCCGTCAAATCTATAGACGTTTTCAGTGCTGCACGTACATGACAGGAAGCCCTCGGTTACTTCCATGTTTAGAAAATACCCTTCTGTGTGAGGGGCGACTCGCTGAGTAACACTAACCTCCCAGGACTTTCCATTAAATAAAAACAGACAGGACATGATTGAAAAGCTGCATACTTTCTTGCTGAATCCATTTTTCAATGGCCCTTGAACACAGTTCTCGAGTGCAGGAGGGAGGAACAGAGTGGGTTCGGGTTTATCTGAAGGTTGCCCCCTGTAAACGACTAATTCCTTTTACCTTTTTTTTTTTTTGAAATGAGTGCAGGAGGGAGGAACAGGGTGGGTTTGGGTTTATCTGAAGGTTGCCCCCTGAAAACGACTAATTCCTTTTACCTTTTTTTTTTTGAGAAAACTTTACACAAAATCATTACTGTTTTTTGTCTTAGCACATGTATATTGAGTGGATGTTGAAGTCAGTATAGAGACTCCTTGAAGGCAGGGACTATGGCCTTGGATTCATGTTTTCAAAATTTATTGAGCATCTTTTGTATGCCAGGCACTGTGCTGGTATGACTGGACAGTGATGAAAAGAGGACACAGCTCCTGCCTTCTTGGAATTCATAATGTTTATATTTAAAATTATAATTGCTGAGACTGTGTATGTGTGGGTAAGAGAGACGTGAAATCCCCTGGGCAGTTGGATGTATGGAGAGTTAATTGTGCCCTATCTTTCAAGAACTTACAGATGGAAGAAGTGGCAGCCTCTATTGAAGGGGTATAAAACAAACACAATACCATTAAAACTTGGACTATGTCGGAGGTAGAAATCACCCCTGACTCCCGCTGGCTGGTGTACTCTTTTACAATTTTTTAAATTGTAATAAGTATCTTCTAGCATCTCTAAAGTTGCAAATAAGTGTAATTGCCATTCTTGAGCTGAACACTTGTTTGTAAAGGACCTTGGCACCCTGACTAGACAAGGCATGCGTAGCTAGAGAGAATCATGACAAAAAACGCAGAGCAAGGGGAGGAAGGAAACAGCCGTTCCCTTATGAGAGCTGTGATTTTGTAGTGAAAAATGATGTATAGAGATCCCCACAAGCAGAACCTTTCCAGCCAACCAGATCAAGACTGAGCGCATCTTCTGGCCAGTTTCCTACAGTCGCTACAGTGACTACGGGGTGTCTGTCCTAATAGGACCCTTTTGGGTGGTCCTTAAATTCATGGTTAAAATCATCATGGCCCCAACAGAAAAGAAAATCAGCAATAAACCAAACCAAGCAGCTAAAATGTAAAATGGCTTCTGTTGGGAGGGAGGGCTCCAAAACCCACAGAACAGTTCCTTTCCAGAATCTTGTAAACATCTGCATGTTCTCTCTCCTTTAAGTTGAGCTGCTCGACTTTATGAACTGAAATGTACATTTATACTCTTTCCACCCACATATACTATTCAAGTGTATGAAGTTGGAGCAAACTGCCCATTCAACTAAACTGCAGTATTTATTCTTATCTCATGTAGAAATAAAGTGACAATCTATGGGAAAATATTATGATAGTCCATTCCCACTGTTTTCAGACACATCCATAAACACCCTCTGCTCACATTCCAGAACGGCCTGTACATCACCCATACAGCTCGGAGGTGGGTGTGGATGGAGAAGGGATCCTTCATTTCCCAAACACTTTGCATAACCAGTTAGTATTCATCATGCCTAGAGAATAAGACTCACATTTTGAATAACAAACTGGAAAACAAAACAGTTCTCCAAAGAACCTTGTGAACTGTTTAAAGAAAATTTCACCTTTGTCCAGTTAAATCTGTTATCGGACACATGAGACTGTCAGAAATCATGTCCATTATATCAATTCCCACATTTTTCTAGTAATATAAAGGCATCAGGCTGTAGGGCAAAAAAAAAACCAAAATGCCCAGAGTGCAAATGATGGAAAGTAGGACTTTTAGAGTGTGAGGCTGTAATATTGTGGGATTCTTATGGCCGCTTCTTGTCAAATTGCATCGTTTAGTCTAAACCTTGGTGTTTTAAAATGTGTCTAATTGTGAAAGCCAGAAACAAGAGGTAAACGTGATTTCAGTTAAAACTACATAGAAATATCTTCTGTAATTTTGCTGCTCTGTCTAATTTTTAGGCTATGATTTTTGTAATGAGCTTATCAGATTACAAATTTCCTTTGTTTACAATCTCATATAGTAGGGCTCAGATAATTTCTTAGCTATAAACCTCCTCTCCCATTTTCATTTGTTTCATTTAATATATTGTTTAAGGTAAGCCTAAAAATTAAACCCAGTTAGTTAAAAATTGGGGGAGTTTTCCTTAAATGGAAATGGTATATTCTTTTCAGAGAATTTTATAACCATTTGACTGTTTCTTTGCTTGGAAAACTGAGGTTAACTGCCAGTTCACAGTCGCATTACTTTCCAGAGCGTTATCTAATGGGCCCAATGTGTACCTCAAGATAAACATGGTGTTATGTCTAAAATAATTCATTGTTGATTTAAATGGTTCTGAAAGGTCTATAAATAAAGAAATTTTAAAAGTTGCTCTTCTTGCAATTGTTCCTCAGTGAGTCAGATCTAGTGCATAGTTTTCTAGAACTTCTCTTCCCCGTTTTCATGAAGGAGAAGGGAACTTGTCTGAAGGGGTTCATAACATTGCAAGCGCTTTCTGTATTAACAAGAGATTGAAAACAATGGTTGTTGTACAAAGAAGAAGCTGGAAACCAGGCGACGTGATGGCAGTCAAAAAGAATTCAGTCCCTGTGTGGTCAGGAGTTAGAAGAAAAGACAAATATAGATGAACTGGTGACTCTTTAAAAAAAAAAAAAAGTGTACATGTTCGTGTGGGGAAGAGAAAGATAGCACACATTCTTATTTCTTTGGTGTTATCATGTCTCTGATTTAAGTTATATAATAACATCAGCATAAACAGTAAGCAGATATGGTTGAGGGTGCTACAGAAAATCATGAGCATTTCGCTGTGGCATCCACCGGTAATGTTAACAGAAAAGTTAGCAAATGGCAAGTAGAAGTTGGTTAAGAGAGCTTTTCTCTTATGCCAAATAGCATGCAATAGCTTCCTAACACTTTGTGCCATAAATCTTTCCCCCTTTTTTTTTTCATCAAACCATTTTTTTGAGGTTCTTCAGAGTAGGGTTGAAGGTCTAGTAGGACAATGAGATCAGATGTCTTCAGCCTCATTGAGACCTCCCCAGCTTCTTGCTCAACAAAAAGTCCTTCTGTTTTTTATAGTAGACAATGCACCCCTCCCCAAAAGAAAATAATTTATTTTATCTTATACTTAAGCCTCCAACCCTTCTGTCCAATTTCACAAAGATAAAACCTATGACAAAATCCACAGGTGAACACTTTCCTGGACTACAGCGATGTGCACTGGAGGAAACTACAGGATTGATGTGGGCTATGGCTAAAATGTCCAAGGATCTACCTCAGGGTCTTAGGAGGACTTACATCAGTTAAATGCTAGAACATTGGACTCCCCCAAATTGGATATTGCCAAGTAAAGTTAAGTTTAGAAATAATTTGAGCTATCATGAAATATCCTCCAAATCCTACACATCTGAGTTTAAAGAAAGCCGAACCATGAAAAAGAATGAGTAAGTGCTGGGGAAATTCTTATTTCACTGAATGAATTGTCCCTTAAGAACCCCCTCCCCCACTCAGCCCTTCTTGCTTAACTCGGACACATCCTTCAGAATTTACCAAGTATCATCTCCCAAACTGATTTGATTACACTCTTCTGTGCTGACATAGCTTTTCATGCATGTCTCTAACCCCTTATAAGCTGCAAGCTCTTTGATTTCAGGGTTTATGTCTTTATTGTGTATCTTCAAAAGTAGACGTGACTTGAGGTTTTATCGAATGTGACAGCACAAACGCCATCACATTCCTGATGGCAGCCAGTCTTTGTACTATCAAGATCAAGATTCTGCAGCCTTATGATAACAGTGAAGTGAAGTCAAAAGAATGACATAAATGAAAATTGTATGCATCATAAAATTTCTGAGTAGAATAAAAAAGCAAGATACAAACTTGTTTAGCGGTCTCAGATGGAGTTTGCATCATTTGCCAATGAATAAATTTTTCTTCTAATGGTTTAATTAAGCCAATGACTTCAATTTTTTAATGGATACACAGTGAACTAAAAAAGATCAGTGCGTTCTCATAGATTGACAAAACTTGGCTCTAAAAGACACATGCAATTGAAAAGCAGTAGATAAGGTTGGATGACCTAAGCTAAGAGTGATCTCAGGACCAGAGGCAGTGATGAGTGAAGATAAAAAACAGTTCTGTGTGCTCAGAAGCACAACTGTCCAGGAGACATTGTGCAGGGCATAAGAAATACCATCAGAGGACAGATCGCAGAAGTTTAGAGCCAAAGGGAACTGTGCGATGACCTGGTCCAACCTTTTAACTTTATAGGAATGAAATCACTGAGGGAAAATGACTTCTCCCAGACCACGCATAGTTTGTGACAGAAAGAGAGCTGGAAATACAACCTCCTGGTTCCCCGTTTTGTACTCACTCCATTACAACACTGTCTCCCAATTTTCTCAACTTTTAACTTTTTAAAATAACGTTTAATGTTTTTTTTTTTAACTCGTGGAATGCCCTACCCTGTTTCTCTAACTTCTTTCTTCCAAGGCTAAAAATAGGAGATGATCATGAACTGATGCTCCCCAGCCAATGCTAGCTGGAAATCAAGAGAAACTTTTCCTGCTTATAAAATGGAAGCTCTGAGCATATCTCCTGCTTTTTGATCAAAAGAGACGACTCAGAGTAGATATAAATGAGATAGGTATAAGATTTTTTAAAATGCAAAAGAAAAAAAAAATTACACAGAGCACACT